GGCTGTCCTGTACCCGACACAGCACATCCACTGGGCAGAAGGAAGGAACTAGACAGAGTTCTTGGTGGTGGCTTGGGCCAGAGGGAGGCAGGCGTGGAAACCACCAGAAAAGAAGAGCTGCCAAGGAAACAGCTGCTCTTCCGTGTGGCCGGGAAAGTGCTGGAGAGACAGCTCCGGTCACCATTTTCTGCATGGCCTGTGAGCCCGGCTCTCCCAGCAATGGCAACTTTGACAGCCGCAGTACATTTGGCCCTGGAGTGGCTCCCACGGCTCCGTGCTGCTGGGGACAGAGCGGGGCGACCCGAGGTCTCACCTGAACCCGTCATCTGCCACGAACATGCCTTCCACGCTGCCCAGCCCTTGTCACATGAGCAAGGCTGGAAGCGGGACACCTCGTGGAGAATCCCTCATCCCAGTATCGTGATCTGCTCCCACACAGTCGTTTTCATGCACAAAACACCGGTGTGAATTCACCCAGGCCAGACCACCAAAAGCACCCCCTACAACCGGCCCAGCATGCGCCTCGGCCCCAGATACCCATGCATACACACGCTTCCGGACAACACTGAGCAATGGAGGATTGAGTCATTCGACTGTGCACCGATCCATAATGGCAGCTTGCCATCAGTTGGTCCTGGGGTGACCCAGTGGGTCCTCAGTCAGATTGCAATGGGGAGCCCAACTCAGGCAGGCCACCATTGCCCTGCGGGTGTGTCCTCTCCCCATGGTGACCGCCATGTCTCTCACCTCAGCCCTGAGCTGCTTGGCCCCAGTGAAGACGGCTGTACAAGAGCCTGTGCCCAGATGAGGGCTCTGGGTAGCTACTCCGTGAGACGCTGCAGTGGTTATGGCAAGATGGGCTCCTCCACGGGATGAAGCTCCATTGTGTGTGCGCGCGTGTGCGCGCGTGTGCGCGTGTGCCAGTCCTGGGCTTTGAACGTGGTCTCCTGCTCTCACTGGTGCTCTACTACTTGAGCCACAGTTCCACTTCAGTGGTTATTTTTGGTGAATTAGAGATCAGAGTCTCTTGGATATATCTTACCTAGGCTGGCTTCAAACTGCACCCCTCAGATCTCAGCCTTCTGATTAGGATTACAGGCATGAGCAACCAGTGCTCAACTCGCCCTGTGGTTTGGATGGCTTGTTTATGGAGCACTTGAACTGGGGTGTGGAGTCCCCTCATCTGGAGCAACCCCATGGAAGGAGATACCTCGCATTTTTACATCAATGGGGTATCGCCCACTGTAGCTTTTCATACCATGTTGAGAGACACAGTGGTGTGTCAGGCTAAGCTAGTGACTACACTTCAAAGTCCTTCACATTGTTGTGGCAGCATGAACGGAGCGCAGTCCCAAGATGTCCCTTCCCACCTTTCGCATCATTTTCTTCATTTAAAAACAATCCTTACTCTTACTGCCAAGTCCGAGGGGAGGAGAAGACACCCTGGGGAGGTGTGTGTGTGGGGTGTGTGCTGGAGTATGGACTAAGTACTGGAAATCCATTACAGTCCAGTGCCAAGCCTGCCACAGTCCCGGACTGCAGAGGAGCCTGGCAGGGTGCTGTCAAGCCCAGCACACGAGCAGCCGATACAGAATGCTGTCAGTGTGCAGCTTTGGTTCTGTGTCTACTCGCTCTGTGATGCTGAGATGGCGGTGTGTCTGGCTCTGGTTCGTGCCGCCTGTGCTGTGCTGAAGTGACATCACAAAGAGCTGGCGTGGCCATTCCCTGCCTCACCGGATGGCTCTGGACCTGCCCACGTCACCAAAGGACTCAAGAATCGAGGGACCAAACTAATGGACTCATCAGACTTGGTGGGGGTGGGGGGACGCATAGCAATACCATTGGTGTACAGGTTTTCTCTGTTTTAATGTTATTTGTAAATTTGTACAAACACTAAAAGTCGTTCCCATTTCCAGATAAATGATATTTTAAGTTATCACTGGGACTTAAGGTATTGTTTTTCCCCACTAGTGAACTTTAATGTTTTCTTAAAACCAGAGTCTACTTGAGCCGGGTATCAGTGGCTCACACCTGTCATCCTAGTTACTCAGGAGGCTGAGATCTGAGGATCGCAGTTCAAAGCCAGCCTGGGAAGAAAAGTCCGTGAGACTCTTTATCTCCAATAAACCACCCAGAAAAAGTTGGAAGTGGTGCTGTGGCCCAAGTGGTAGAGCACTAGCTTTGAGCACAAAGAGGCTCAGGGACAGCGCCCAGGCTCTGAATTCAAGCCCCAGGACTGGCAAAAAAAAAAAAAAATACCACCAACCCCTCCCAAACCAAACAAAAACCTAATCTACTTGAACATTTGTGGAGGGTATTGTATTTTTTTTTTTTTTTTGTCGGCCGTGGGGCTTGAACTCTGGGCCTGGGCTCTGTCCCTCAGCTCTTCAGTTCAAGTCGAGCCCTCTACCACTTGAGCTACAGCGCTACTTCTGGTTTTCTGGTGGTTTATTGGAGATAGGAGTCTCACGGTCTCTCCTGCCCGGGCTGGCTTTGAACCGTGATCCTCAGATCCCAGCCTCCTGAGTAGCTAGGATTACAGGCGTGAGCCACCAGCGCCCGCAGGGTATTGTATTTTTGTACTTATTGTATTTCTAACTGGATTTGTGTTTTTGTATGTGCTTAATTGATTTGTGCACTTTGGGATACTTCTTGATGTTCCTGACTAATGTTAAAAATCACTGTAATTAGTATTCAGATGGCCCATGTTTCTGGACCTCCCACCCTGGCCTCCCCAGCACAAAGAGACGCCTCGAGACCCGGTTCTCCCATCATTGTTACTTCACCTGTGCAGCCTTGTTTGGTTTATTTCCTCCAGTTTGTACTGTCGTTAAAAACATACTGTGCTCAGGCACTTTACATATAAAGATGTATCATTTCCATTTCCATAATGTAAACGTGTAGAATGGATTTTGGTAATAGATGTGAAGGAGAGGTAGACAGGGCTAGGAAATTACCAACAGAAAACATGACAAAAAACACATGGCCCACAATGGTGCTGCTGCTTCCCACAATGCCCCGGGCTCCCATTCAAGCTGCTGCTTCCCACAATGCCCTGGGTTCCTACTCAAATTCTTCTTCCCATAATGCCTTGGGTTCCTGCTCAATCAATAGAGAGCGAGGCAGCACATAGACAAGCCATCAATCCATCTGTGCAAAGCCTAGGGCAGAAGACACGGGAGAGCCCTGCAGTGTAATAGTGGCCCTCCAGGAGGACCCCATTGCACTTCAGCCGCAGCTGTGCTCCTGCTCATGGAGAACATACTCTACGACCCTTTCCAATACACTCACTCTGTCTGCTTGAAAACCTTTCCTGCCTTTTAGTTCTTTAACTGGAAGAGAAATGAACCAGACCCCTACAGCCTAAAAAATACCCTGTGAGCCAAGCACTGGTGGCGCACGCCTGTAATCCTAGCTATTCAGGAGGTTGAGATCTGAGGATGGCAGTTTAAAGCCAGCTCGGGCAGAAAGCCTGAGATTCCAATGACCAAAAAACTAATGGAGGTGTGACTCAAGTGGTAGAGCACCAGCCTTGAGCAAAAACGCTAGGGGAAAGAGCCTAGGCTCTAAATTCAAGCTCTAGTACCAGCATGCGCGCGCGCGCGCACACACACACACACACACACACACACACACACACACACACTACAATATGTTTTCCTCTTGGTCAGTTAATCCAAATTACCCAGCATTATTTGAGGTACAGTATTTTTCTTACAAACTTTGCATCTCATGTGAATTTTATTGTGTGATTATAAAAGCCACTTCCACAATTCCTTTTGAGATGAGTACACTGCACTATTGTTACATTATTCAGATTGCGTATTTTTGAAATGATTTTTATTGTTGTTCGAATAACCTCAACAAAAAATATTAGAGGATAACTGGGTGCCTGTGGCTCATTCCTGTCATCCTAGCTAGTCAGGAAGTGGAGATCTGAGGATCAAGGTTTGAAGCCAGTCCAGACAGGAAACTCCATGAAACTCTTACTTCCAAATAATCACCCAAAAGCCAGAAGTCGAGGTGTGGTTCTAAAGGTCTAATGCTAGCCTTGAACAAAAAAACTCAGGGACAGCACCAAGGTCTTGAGTTCAGGCCCCAGGACCAGTGCATGCGTGAGTACCCCCCCACACACCCTCCAGAATGGGAGAAAATCAAGTGTTCAACAGAGGAGAATAGCAATTGTGTTGAATAGGGACTGTTTAGGAGGACATCAATGAGAGGAGGGGAAGGATACTGAAGGGAAGAGGAGGAAAAAATGTGTGTGTGTGTGTGTGTATATATATATATATATATATACATATATTAGATACACGTGTAGAACAGATGTGTAGGGAGATAGCACAATGAAAGTCAACACTGAAAAGGGGAGATTTGATGAGAGGAGGAAAGGGAACATGTCGTGGAGAAGGTGAATCTGTTCAAAGCACACTGTGTCTACACGTGAGCAAATACCACGATGAACTTGCCTCATGTTACAAGTACATGTTAACTCATTGTAAAAAAAAAAAAAAGATGGTGCAGCCATACTACCCATGGATATTTTTCTAAAGGAAATTGTACAGTCTACACAAAGACATTTATTTACAGTACTAACAATGCCCAGGTCACGGAGTCTTCAGCAGGTGAGTGGGTAAGACAATGCTATGGACACAACAGAGTATTATTCAGCCGTGAAGAAAGGGATATCCTGCGATTCCCAGCTACATTCATTAAACTGGAGGGCATTATTTTCAGGGAAATAGCACAGATAAATACCAGCTGATCTTCATATGTGGAATTAAGAAGAACAAGATACATTTGACCTGAAAGATTATTAGGGGTAGCCAGGTGCTGGTGGCTCATGCCTGTCATCCTAGCTACTCAGGAGGCTGAGATCTGAGGATCACAGTTAAAAGCCAGCCTGGGCAGGAAAGTTTGTAAGACACTTATCTCCAATGAACCACCAGAAAACTGAAGTGGCACCGTGGCTCAAGCACTAGAGCGCTAGCCTTGAGATGAAGAGCCAAGGGACAGTGCCCAGGCCCAGAGTTCAAGCCCCATGACAGGCCAAAAAACAATTATTAGAGTTGAAGAAGGTGACTGGAAGCAAAGGATGGGGAGAAGGAAAGGAGAAACGCTGGGGGGGGGTAGAGGGCGGGGGAGGAGATGAATAGAAGGCTTGATCAAAGCATGATACATAAAAATGAATGGAAAATATCACAGAGAAACTATATACAGTAAAATGCATTAATAACTGTGATAAAAATGGTCTTCCAGCCTGCTGCTGGAAGTCTGGGTGTTTCACGAGAAAGGCACATTAGCACAATCCACCAACAACCACCAGAGGGAGCCAGCGGCACACAAGTATCTTCTCCATGAATGGACTCCAATGACTTCCCGGGGTCCCCCTACTTGAGAAGAAAAAGAAAACAAACACTTCAAGAACTGGCCAGAGTTCTACCTTCCTTGGAGCTGGCAAAGCTTTCTATAAGGTCCAAGGTTTAGGAAAGTCTATAGTCCATAACCTCATTATGAAGTTATAAAGTTAGCCAGTGGCTCTTGCCTGTCATCCTAGCTACTCAGGATGCTGAGATTGGAGGATCACAGTTCAAAGCCAGCCAGTCCATAAGTCTTATCTACAATGAACCACTAGAAAACAAAGTGGAGCTGTAACTCCAAGGGACACCTTGAGCAAAAGAGCTCAGGGACAGTAGCTGGGCCCTGAGTTTATACTCTCTGACTGACAACAACAAAAAGTATGTGTTTTCAGGTTTGCATATGGGTGAAAAAAAACTGGGTTTGAACCCAGGATGCTTTTTCCCCTCAAGGCTGGTGCTCTACCACTTGAGCCACAGCCTCCCTTCTGGCTAACTTCTGGTTCACTGGAGATGATTCATGAACATCCTTGCCCAGGCTGACTTCAAGCTGTGATCCTCAGATCTCAGCCTCCCGAGTATCTGGGAGGACAGGAGTGAGCCACTGGCACTTGGCAAGTTTCAGTTTTTGTTTTTGTTGTTGTTTCTGTCAGCTGTGGGGCTTGAACTCTGGACCTGGGCACTCTCCCTGAGCTCTTCAGCTCAAGGCAAGCACTCTACCACTTGAGCCACAGCACCACTTCTGGTTTTCTGGTGGTTAATTGGAAGATAAGAGTCTTATGGACTTTCCTGCCTAGGCTGGCTTTGAATGGTGATCCTCAGATCTCAGCCTCCTGAGTAGCTAGGATGACAGGTGTGAGCCACCGGCACCAGGCAAAGTTCAGTTTTAAATAAGGTTCCCTTAACAAACCTCATGAGAGGCCCACTTGGGGGAGACTTGCAGGGTATGTGTGCTAAAGTCCCCCCCCCCGCCATCATTATTGAGAAGACTACATACCCTACATACAGACTCCAAGCCATGGATTCCTGAGTTCTGGGACCAGTGCACCTGCCCTGTGCCCACAGACCTGCTCCATAGCTTCTCTTGGAGCCTGGTGCCTGTGGCTCACACCTGTAATCCTAGCTACTCAGGAAGCTAAGTTAGTGCTTCACTTTATTTCTGTGCATTGATCCTCCTACTTGTGCTTCTCTGTGGCTGGAACGGCAGGTTCACGCCACTGCACACAGCAATTAATGGAGATGGGAAGCTTGTGAATTTGTTGTTGTTGCTGTTCGTGATTGGGCTTGAACTCAGGGCCTGGGTGCTGTCCCTGAGCCTTTTTCCTCAGGGATTGTACTCTACCACTTTGAGCCACAGTGCCACTTTCTGTTTACTGGTGGTTCATTGAAGAGAAGAGTCCCATGGACTTTCCTACTTGGGCTGGCTTGGAACCATGATCCTTAGATCTTAGCCTTCTGAGTAGGATTACAGGCGTGAGCCACCAGCACCCAGTGAACTACTTTTTTCTTTTTAATTCCCAGGCTGGCCTCAAACCGTAATATCCTAAATTTCTGCATCTTAAGTGGCTAGTTTGTTTTTGTGTGACACTGATGGTGTTCCTTGTTTTCCTTTCCTCTTGAGTAGCTGCTAAGTGTCTTCATCACGGAACCAAAACACTTGCACACTCAATGTCTGTTGTGGCACAATTCCTAACAGCTAAGTTTGGAATCGGCCTAGATGCCAACCAATAGAATAAAGAATTTTCATCCAGGTGCCAGTGGCTCATTGGTGTAAGCAATGAGTTAATGATTATAATGAACAAAGCTGAACTTCTACTCTGTGCACTCCTGACTTCTTGTGCTTGTTGTTTTTTTTTTTTTTTTTTTGTCGGTCGTGGGGCTTGAACTCTGGGCCTGGGCGCTGTCCCTCAGCTCTTCAGCTCAAGGTGAGCGCTCTACCACTTGAGCTACAGC